GGGTGGAACTCACGTGTAGTGTGTGCCGTACCGGGGTCCCCGGATGTGGCCCACGCCGTTGCACCCCGGAGTGGGGCAGCCCTGCCCCGGGAGCGCCGTGGAGTCGGACAGTCCTGGAACACAGAGGCAGAGCCGCGAGTTACGAACGCAGCTGACCAGAGCGCCCCCTGGGGGCCATCAAGGTCAGTCACTGGCCAGTAACGGGGCAGGTTTGGCATCTCCCTTCCAGGGAGGAACAGAGTGGTCCCTGTACTCAGCCAGAACGTGTTACAGCACCTCCAGTCTCGTATTCGCACTGATGCAGGTACTGATCCTGTGTACAGAGGTACAGAGACACCTGACAGCAAGTTCTTCCAGTGTGAAAGACCTGCCAAAGAAGGATGCACAAAACCTTAACTGTCCTACCCTGTTTGCATCTACCTAATAAGGTAAAGTGATTCGGAATATTCCTTCACATGCAAACCTTGAGTCAGCAGTAATTCTCACAAATGGCACATGGGAGGAAACTAATGGCAAAGAAGATCAGCGCGAAGGGAATTTGCCGGACCTTACCCAGCGGGTTCTGCAGGGGGTGCCCGGTCTTCTGACACCAGCCCACGGGGTGAATGTCGGAGCTGTCTGCGTCCACCCAGTAATCATAGTCCTTACTCCAGCAGTCAAAATGGATCTGCCAGAGTGGGAGAAGGAAAAAAAAAGAGCTAAGTGAATAACTAAATGTCTGATGTGCAGCCTGGGAATGTGATCCTGAACCTGGACCTTTGCTTAACTGTACTTGCAGTCGAGGCTGTAACTCTGCTTCCCCACTGTTCTCAGGACAGAAGTGCCAATGACAGAGGCTGAACTACTGTCACTAGTGCAAATGTTACTGCAACCGTAGCTTGCGCTGAAACTATTTTGCGCTGGTCCTCGCCCTGAGAATGTGCTCCGTCAAAGTATTTGACGGACCGTAAAACAAACGATGAAGCTGCATCACAGACTCCTCAGCATACAAATAAAACACGACACCCTGACACTGGACACAGCACCTGGCACAAAACAGAAGCAACAAACTGCGCATCAGCGTCACACAGGGTCCGATGTATATATTTATACCCAAGGCTGATATTTGTGCCACACACTCTTGAGGAGACAGGATCACTCCTGTGCTTGAGGGCAACTGCTCTAGTACGTTAGGGTCTTGTTATTGAAAGAATTATTTGGGGCACTTGCCGATACCAACTGGACACACTCAGAACACGCATCACAGCTGCACAGGCTGTGTGACATACAGCAGGGCTGTCTGGCCCTACCTTCACCCGGTGGTCCTCAGTGTCCATGATGGTGGCCACTCTGATCAGCATGGGGTTCCTCTTGTCCACGGCTTCCAGCTTCATGTTCACCTGGAACCCGTGAGAGGGTCTCTGGTGGGGGGGATAGACAACATTGCACCACTGATTACCTGCAGGAGACACGCTAGGGACACAAAGCCAGAGAAGCACAGGCCTCAGCCGAGAGGGAGACAGAATGAATATTATGCCAAAATGGCTGGAGTCAGTATGGTATTCCGGTTAGCAGCTCTGATAAGGCGGGAATGCTGGGGGTCTGTTGGAGCAGGGCTTCTCCTCCCAGTACAGCGCTCTGGTTGTAGCTGTGTGCCCCTCCAGCTGACAGGGTTATTAGGGGTCACGCTGTGCTGCAGACTGTCCCTACCTGTTTAAAGGCCCTGGCGGGGGCAGCTTGGGATCCCGTCTCCTCTAGATATTTCTCCCAAGAGAAGCTCCTCGGATGTTTGTATTCTGAAAGAGAGCAGGATACCCAGATTGTCTGTACCATAAACTCAGACCACACAAGGTTGCCTACGCCCTCCACTGAAGAGACCGCCACAACAGCAGAGGTCAAAGGTCAGCCCAATATCAGTGACCACTGCTTTCAGTATCTTATCAACTGGTAACCAACTTAGATGCACAAGACAGACAACAAAAACCTATACTGGACTAGCACTGGTACAAATTAATAGTGGTTTATTACATTCCAAGGTTGAAATACTTCTTCAGGGACTGGATATAATTTCCATCATTGCCCCACTTAAAGAGCCCCTAGAATTCATCACAGATTTTTGCTCATGGCAGCAAAGGAGCCCACAATCTGCCCAACAGATTGTCCAACAGAGCAAAGTACAGGATTAGGCAGGGCGGTGGGAGATGAACTCACCTGCTGGGGCCGTCAGGGTCAGTCCCTGCTCCTGGCAGTAACCCACGGGGTGAATGTAAGGACTGCTGGAGTCACACCTGGAAAAGACCAACAGCGCTCGGTCATCAGCTCTGAAGTCCCGTGGCCTTTGTCATTAACGAAAAGGGAGCCGTGCTTCCCCCGGCAGGGCGGACGTAAAGGCTGCCGATTACTAGAATGTTTTAAGAATTGGCCGGGGGGGCGACAGGCAGCGGGTGGAGGTGGAAAGCGGGGCGCGAGCCCGCCGCGGGGGCGGCAGGCCTCGGCCCTCTCACCAGTAGTCGTAGCTGTCGTCCCAGTTGTCGAAGTGGATGAGCAGGCGGTTGTCTACCACGCCAGCGATGGTGGCCACGCAGATCAGAGAGGGGTTCTTCCTGTCCACTGCCTCCAGTTTCATCCCCGGGCGGAACCCAGACGGGGTGACAGACTGAGGGGAACGGGGAAGATTCGCACAGTTATGACCCCACATCCGAAGGGAAGAAGACAAATGGCCTAAAGGTAAGGAGGCTTCATTCCAATTCCTGCCTGTCCAGGAGGAATTCAACAATGGACACCCTTTTAAAAGTGAAGGAAAGTGCAGAAAATTAAACCTCCATGAAGGCATGAAGCCACCGCTCTGGAGCATATTCTTAAAGGGGTACGAGCGTTCACTGATGACTGCTTAACGACTGAAAGACGGGAGGTTTTCAACAGTCGAAATCTTTCTAAAGAAAAATGGTACTGAGAGTCCGCTGGCTAGAAATCCAATGGTTGGGACAAAATCAAATAATAAAATATAAGAAATAAGAGCCAGGAGATGTGAAACAGCTTCGCGTGAACAGTCAAGCTTCTACTCACAGTGTTGAGACTCTTGAAGAGGTGTTTAGGAGCGATCTGTCCTCTGCAGTTCTTCACATAGGTGCTCCAGTTGAACTCTCCGTCTTTGCACCCTGCACCGAAGCTCAGCCAGTCAGAAAACTTCGCAAAGAATTATCACTACCTCACCGTGGTTAGAGAAACTAGAATGGGCAAATAAAGTACTGATGTACTCCGTGTAATTGCTCCTTGTTTTCTTACATAGGCAGGCTAAAGTAACTGAACCTTTTTAATTCTTCAGAGAAGATTCGAAGAGGGTGTGAAAGTGAAGCACAAGTGGAAACTCTGTGGAATTGCATTTAAAACGGAGAAAAGGGGGCACTTCTTTAAACAAAGGGTTGTGGGGGAATGGAACAAGCTACCTAGCCATGTTGTTGAAGCCGATACCCAGGCTTCTTTCAAGAAACAGCTGGATGAGATCCTTGGAACAATTAGCTACTAATTACCAAATACAGGATGGCCTCTTGCAGCTTCTCATCTTTCTCATGGTGCGAGAAACACTCACCTTTGGGGAGCAGCAGTTTATGCCCTGTCTTCTCACACCAGCCAGCTGGCTTAATGTCCCAGGCGTCTGCATTTACCCAGAAGTCATAGCACTCAGGGTAACCATCGAAGTGCAGTCGTATCCTGTAACCCTGGACCTGCAAGCACAAGAGAAAGTGTTTCACAGACATAAGCCACTCTGACCCACAACAGCATGTATGATATAATCAACACTCTTGGTGAATATTAAACGCTGTACCATTAATGTCAAATCTCTCTTGTTCTGTAAATGACATAAGATGAAGGAACTATGAGCTTAATGGAATTTGTTAGTCTTTTAAAACAGTCAGGTTCTATTTATAATTATTTTTGTGGATATTTCAGTATATATTACTCTTTCACAGTGCCTAAGTGCCTAATGTGTAAAATAAAGCACAAGCGAAAAATGAATCCTATTGCTGAGAGGCACAACAGTGAGCTCCCATAGTGTGCTCATGATGATGATGATGCCCTATTTGACTGGCACACAGGAGAACAGGGGCAGACGAAAAGCCTCGCCCTGTTTAACACTCAGCGCTTTGCCCGAGCTCGTCCCGCTCACCTCTGCCACAGTGAGCACACAGAACAGGGACGGGTGGCAGGGGTCCAGGCCCTCCAGCTTCATGCCCACTTTGAAGCCGTTCCGACTCTGAGGAAACGACTGGTGCTGGAAAACAGACACGCGGGGTCAAGAGGTCAGGGTCAGCCAATGAGGATCCGGTCTGGCCCAGGCAGGGCGAGTGCAGCTGGAGCCCAGATGACCGGCAAGCAGTTGAGAGGTCAACACGGTGAGCAAGGCAATATCTGCCAACAGAATTTCATAAACACAGGATCACAGAGACAGGCATTCTCTAGAAGCCTTTGGCTTCTCTGTAAATTCACCTCATTCGTATTCCCAGTATTTTCTTTAAATCTGCCTGTCAACATCTTTGATCTTAAAGACACTAATCAACATAAAAAATTAGCTTCATGAGAGATGAGAAAAGTGACCGAGCAAACTGTCCTTTTCATCAGAATCAGTTGGCCATCCACAAACTGCTCAAGTGTAGCTCACTGACCTCCAACAACGCCCAACCAAACTGGCCCACTGCACCATACTTGCAGGTCACTGGGGGAGAGACTGTTTAAAGACAAAGACATCCGTCTCCACCTTCTTCCAGATAGGAATGAGGAGGACAGGCCTGAGGAGGCACCAACCTCTTTGAAGAGCTTGACTGGGGCGGCTACAGCCTTCTCCTCTTCCAGGTACGTGTGCCAACTCCACACTTTCTTCTTTGCTGGCTGGGTCATTACTGTGGAAGAACCAATATGAACACAACTGACGCAAACTTTTAAAAAAATACCACACCCACACGCTCTCTTTTCACAGTGCAGTCAAAAACAGAATTTCATCCGGCACGAATGCAGTACATTTCCTTCCCCCTTATTACTACTGTCATCACAACCATTCATGCAATCATAAACTGCTGTGTAAAAGTCTTAAGATACTTTAAACAATCAGGAGTTACAATATGTGCTGTGAGCATCAACAAATTACTCAAAACCTCCACTACTGCTTTCTACCAGTATGACAAATATTACTGATATGGCTTAATTTGGGTGGGAAGACGCCAGACTTGTCATTATGCAAACTTTAATTTACATTGATCAGAATCTTCAAAAACACAATCATAACCATCGAAGGTAAAGTACATATAAGGAGCAAAGATGAAGTTCTGTAGTGCCTAATCTACCACAACTGCCAATCGTAACTAAACCGAGTCATTGTCAGGCCTTTCTTTACATTAACATCTCTTCAGAGTTCCATAAAGCTAAAGGCCTACATTTTGCATTCTTCTTTCAAGAGATCAATATTATAGCATTATTTTTCTGCATAAAGAAGGGAACAGAAAAACTAGACTTATACACAGCAGTACATAGGAAATCGGTGAATACTGGCTGAACAATTGTCATCTTTTATTTCCCAGTGCCTGCAAATGGAACCAGCACTGCATGGTATGACACATCCAGACTTGAAATGATGGTGACAAGTAAGCAGTAACAGTCAAAACAAATTATCTTCGTCCTTATCTCTTGCCCCTGCACATGCCGATACAGAAACTGCACAGAACGCAATGTTCTAGTGACAACAGCACTCTATACGATACGAGAGGGTAAATGCTCTTAAAAAACAGTTTAAGAACTTTCTGCTCTGCTCCACTGTTGGGGAAGAGTTAATAATTGTCAGCTGCCAGCTAGGTGATGCCATGAAATGTCAAGAGCTGTGCATCCTGACATGGAGGTACGCTCACACAGGACCGCCCCATCTCTCAAGAGAACGTTTCTCCACAACACAACTCTTTACCTTGCCTGGCCTGCTTGGCAGCTCTCCTTCCTTTGCCCGCCTTGGACTTTTCCTACAAGTAAAAAAAAAAAAAACAGTCGTAAAACTTCCTGAAATGCATCAAATGTATGAAGCAGTCAACAGAAGAAACCAAAAATCTAGCGTCAGCCTTTCTTCTCCATTTTGGTCAGCAAGAAGAAAATTGCGGAAAAAAATGTTCATTTAAATGAGAAAATGATTTGTGGTGTCCAATCCAAGAGAAGTACATATTTATAAGACCTTCAGTTAATATCTTCCCTTCTGGAGTTTCACAAAGAAACATTTCCTCAGACCATAGTTACTCAATATGTTGTAGCTTTCTCAAATTTAACGTGGATGGCTATGATGGAGAGTGCCTTATTTCAGCATCAAGGCAAAAACAAAACATCTTCTGGAGCTTCAGATTTAGAAAATGAATTGGAGGTGAGAGGGGGTATCAAAGAGGAATCCTCAGTGTTTTGCAGTCAAGAGTACAAAGTGAGGGACAGAGCTGATAGCAGCAAGATTCTAAAACCTCCTCCTCCTCGGGGTTCTCCTCGTCTTCGTCACCCGAGTCCATGTACAGCTTCCTCTTCCTCCTCACACGCTTTCCCAGCCTGTCGCTCTCGTTGCCTGGGTTACCGCTGGCCCCGCCTCTGTCTCTCTGCTCCACAGGGCTGGCCCTGCAACAACAGCACCGAGCACGCTCCTTACAGAGGGCAGTCTACAAAGAGGACATCCAAGCATCCGGGGGACACAACCATATACTCTCTTTCCTCACATGCAAACCAACACAACATGATCAATTCCTGGTTCTACTTCTGTCACTTCGAGCTATATTAAAAGAGCTTGGAGGTACAGCAATACCTTCACACTTTTTGTACCAGGAACCTTGTAATCAGAAATAAAATCCGTCTCCTTGCTTTCTTTGCAAGTAATCTCGAGTGTCACATGCTGAGCAGTCTTGTCTTATAACCCTGGGAGTTTCCTTTAACATCTTTACTTTTGATGTGATTAAACATCACTTATTTGAAATGTAAACATTCTCTGGTGCTTCAGGCTGGAATTCTTCAGTCTGGCCTAATGGAGAGGTTTGGATAAGAAGGATCATTTTGTCTACCCTTATTAGAAGCGTGAAAGTTGATGCTCCTCGTTAGAAAAAAAGAAAATTCTCCAACAAAGAAGCTTTAGGAAAATCTGCATACACCTTAACCAGCTCAGGTGGTCAGGAAACACTCATATTGCAGAATGGCAACTAGTAAACGCATACTGAAAATGAAAAGGTGAAAAAATAATCTTGAAATGAACATTTTTAAGCCATCTGCAGAGTTAAAATGGGAACTGGGGTTATTTGGGAACCAACCAGATTGGATAATAGATGCTGGGTGAATCGCATGAATCTTGTTGCAGAACTAGTGCTCTGTACCTGCAGCTGGAGGGCTGTGCGCAGGCAGGGCTGCAGAACTTGCCCTGGATGAAGCTGTCCTGGCTCCCAGAGATTCCACAATAGCCACAGCTGACCACCACCACGCTCGGGGCCTCCTCCAGAGCCTGGGACAGCAGCTCGGCACCTTGGGAACGACAGGGAAAGCAGTCAGTTAGCGGAATCTGAACATCGTGGTGGCCCCACAGTTTTAGCACCTGGAGTCATGAGACTTGATACTGGATTTAAACGGGAACTGCAATGGTATTTTAATCCATCAGGGTTAGAAAGTATCAACATTGATGAGCAAAACGTACACAGTAACCTGTAAAACCTCCAATCCACATCACAAAATAGATTAAATTTCCCGCGATTCAGAATGTGGCCTTATTACATTGCAAAGAAGAGTGCTTGTGGATACATCTCTTTTAATCTGATGCAAAACATTGCTCTGGACTTCGAGACAACAAATACTACTTACTCGTAACCTTATTCGGACCATAACTGCATCTGTCCTAATCAAATTTAATCAATTATTGAAAAGCCAGTATTTTAGAATACTGTCTGATCATAGATGCAGGGTTACTCCTTGCTGGTTTAGCACTACCTGGATTGAAGGAAACAAACATACTGCAGGTTGGCACTTCCAGTTTCACCTCAGCTGGAGACCATCATGAGGTGCTCATAGAGGCTGGTGTAAAGGAAGCATCAGTGTCCAAAATCAGGAAGCTGCTTTTATACCTTCAGGCTCTGCTGATGTCATGGTCTCCGTGGCAGCCTCTGGTGGAGGGGTGGGGCTATTGGCAAGGGAGGGATTTTGAGGTTCTGTTGCCAAGGCAGCCCCCTGAACAGCTTGCATCTCCAGGTCAGTGACGATCTCCAACGCTCCAAACTCATTCATTCGGAACTGCGGGCCACAAGAGGAAAACAAAACTGCAGACTGGTAGGGATGTATGTAGCTATCAACACCGGACATCGACAAACCAAACAGATCAACAAAGCCGTTTCAAATATAGACTCAAACGAAACGTTCCACGCGCTGAAAACACAAGTCTGCGCTGCCAGGCCCATCCAGAAAAGCGAAATCAAGGCGGTGTGCACCACGTTCGCACCCGAATGTTGCTCTCCGGCAGTGTAGCGATACCGTCCTTCCAGTCCAGGGCGCTCATCATGTCAAAGTCACCCCCGGAGGTGGGCGTCTCTATGGGCGGGGTGTCCGTCATCTTGCAGGGCGCTCTGTGCCACCTGCACGAGCCAGAAAACAAGAATCTGCTCACTGCAGCAGCCGAGATGAAGACCAGGGAATTGCAGCAAAGAAAAAGTGTCAACGGATCAAACCAGATCTCACTCATTCTAGACTAGATGATGAAGATCTGTTATTACAGAACAATTTAGCAACTGGACAGTAACTATCCATACAGCTGGAGCACAATGTCAAAGCAGCCCACAGTCATTCCACAAGGAGCAGAACAAAGGTCCAGCACAAGATCAACAGTGATATCAAGCAATGAATGAGTTTTTTCCCCAAAAAGGGCACCAACGCAGATGTTTAAAATTCAAACATTTACATCAATATTATAGTCCACCAACAGTGAGGTTTTATGGAAGGTTACAATTGATAAGAACAAGATAGGGAGCCAGCAGCTTAAAATTGAGGATGAATCTGCCCATCAAGAAGAGAATAACAGCGCAGGTCTCAAAAAAGGCAACAGGCTCAGGGAAGAGCAGAAAGAACAGATGAGTCCGTGGCCTCAGGCAGTCACAGTTAATGCCGCGGAGGTCAAGACTGCACTGCTCCCCAAGTGTAGTTCTACCAGGAAAGCAGACAACCATGATTTGAACTTGTTTCAGTCCAGTATGTTGGTGCAACACTAAAAGTGAGGGACATGTCTTGCGCGAGTCTTCATTGCTTCCCACGTTTTCTTGTGTTTGTTGTTGAGTGCCAAAGTGAAGAATTCATCATTTGGTGCACCCCAGCACAAAAGAACTGCTTATTTACCTCTCTTCCAACATCTCTCAACTGTCCATCACTGTACTTCAGAACATAATTTGACTGTTTCACCACATATAACAGTATAACCCCACTCCCACTTTTAGGAAGGCCAAAAGTATTTGGACAATAAGCTGCAGTATCACATTACTGCATTGCACAGTACCTTCTGAACATATACAGCAAAATACACAACTGTTGTATTTTTAAACAGATCTGATATTTTAATATGGTCTATTACAGGTCCTAATCGTCTTTCAATCTGGCAGTAAGCACACCCATGCAATTTTAAAAGTTTTCTTTAAGGAAGAACATTTGCAGAATCCACCCATACATTCTTTCACTAGCTACGTTTTCCAACACAGTGCCGCAGGGACAGCCTGAGCCTATCCCGGCAAGCAATGGGTGCAAGGGCAGGATACACCCTGGATGGGACACCAGTCCATCGCCGGGGCCACACAGACAGGCACACACCAGGGCCAATTTTCCCAAAATTCAGCCAGCCTAGCAGTATAGAATGTCTTTGGACTGCAGGAGGAAACTTAAGCAGCCGGGGAAACCCATGTGAACACAGGGTGAACATGCAAACTCCACACAGATAGCGCTCCAGGTCCAGAATAGAATCCAGGGCCCCGGCGCTACAGAGCAGCAGTGCAAACCACTGCTCCCAGCCCAGGCTCTCTCTCTCTCACCGAGGCTACTGCAACGCCCTCTCGCCTGACCTGCTGTCTCACTCCTGTCACACTCTGCGCCATCCAGGACTCTCGTCGTCTCTCTTACTGGCCCAAAGCACGGGACTGGCTCAAAACCAGCCCTTCACATTGCACCTTGTCTGGCGGAGCCTCGCAGGGCACCACCGCGGGAATTGGGAGCAGCTCAGGCGCCTGCTCCAGCGTGATCTCTCTGCCACACACCTCTCCAGCTGGGCGATCTGCTTACGGCTCATACTCACGGTAAAAGCGAACGGCCTGCTGACAGGGTGTGCACATCACAGCGCGGATGTCAGCTGCTGTGTACAGCAGATCCTACTGCCTCAATCTGTGTGCAAGGCCCCCGCGGTACTCTTCCAGATTCTGTGGGCCATGTTGTTGTTTTAGTCATTCCTTTTACTTTACTGTACTCAACACAGAGTAAATCTGGTATACACCGCAAGTCTGCCAGGATACTTGTGTCTGCTGGGCAATTAATAAAGATAAGCCTCCAAAAAAAAAAAAAACATACCCAGCAGGGTATTAACCCCTCATATCAAGAGCTGTGAACGAAAAAGATCAGATCCTTCTAGGTAAAAATACCTATTGCTCCATCTGTAACGCTCAGCACAGCAGAGAAAATTGTGATGTGAAAATGTGAACTTCGCTACTTATGTTACTTAATACTTTTCACATCTGATACAAAAAAATCCTCCTAATTCAGGTGAAGTGGTAAATTGAAACTTGGGCCTAGAAAGATGTTAAGACTGTATACATGTGTTTGGCGAGTTTGTATTTTACTAATTTTTTTTTAAAATAAAAACATCTTAGAATATTACCTAAATATTTAGGTTTAGTAAAAAATGTTGACAAAGCGAAGGTAAGCAAATGTTTAAACAAGCAAATTAACATCAGCAACGGTTTTTTTTTCTATTCCATACCTACAGTAACACGCAATATTTTAATAACGCAACAAAAAAACATGTTTTTTTCAAAACCTACACATATGTATTAAATAACGCAGAATCGATTATTTTTTAATCGTGCCTGACCCTGTCTAAAACGGGGGTCTTTAAACACTTTTGTCCGAATGCAGGATACACAGAAAACACACCGCTGAACTGATCTAAACGAAAAGTTTCGGTCCGTAATGACCTATTTCACTGAATTACCTGTTACACACTAACAGAAACGAAGGCCAGGGATGAACCGAAGAAGATTTTAAGTACGAACAGGGTTTTTGTTTTATTTTCAACCGTCTCGAAAACGTTAGGCTGGACACTAAATTTATTGGCGAAATTCAAATCCAGCCTCCCAGAAATTAATGATCGATTCAAAAGCTTATCGGTTTGTGCTCAACACCTTATCAATCGTAGCCGGGGCCACAACGAACCCGTTTTATTATTATTTTTTTCCTCGATGATCCTCACAAAATGAAAAAGATTATTTTCCGAATACCTGCGGAAAGTTTCAGGGAGTAACCAATTCAATCCCAGCAAGTCCAGACCTGACGTGAACTTAGGCCCCAGTAGGGGGCGACGAGTGCTATCCTTCTCCAATTATGGTGCAATAATAAGGAACAACAAAATGTTATTATTTTACCTTTAAAATGAAGAAAAGGTTATTTATCCGGCAGAACGACCACGTAGGCGCTGCGCCTTTGTCAGTTACAGCTTCTGTGGCGTCGCACTTCCGAACAAAAACAAATTAAAACAACAAGTTCAGCTTTCACTTGTTTTAAGGATATTTGATTTATTTCTTTCTCGAACCCCGGGCGGCTTACGAGAGGGGAAAGGAAATCGAAAGATGCTTTGCCCCTGCGTGGTTTTCGAGAAGTAACGGCGAGAATAAAGTTTTAATTTCTAAAACATAACATTCACAATTTCGTTCACGGCCCGAGCCTTTCGTGGAAAAAAAAAAAACATTTACTTGCTTTTCCAACATATTGGAAAAATGGCGGATAAACAATAAAAAGCGGTTGAGACGCGGTTGTTCAATTTCATTTTCAAGTTTCCCCCTAGAATTATTCCTGTCATAAATAAAGTGTGATGTGCAAGCGCCCATTTATTAGCGTTAGACTTGATACAAAATGGCGGAGGAAAGGAAAAGGCCCCCAAACACGCTAAAACTATGTAAATAATATAATTTGTTACTACACAAGAAACAAAACGTGCATACGCCTGGCAAAAAAAACAAACAGATAGAGGAGATCATGCCCTAATTTTTTTCTGCGATTGTTTTTCCCCCGTAAGTTCATTCTATACTTCGCCCCTTGTCACGGAATGTACAGCTCAGATAGAAGTAATCACAATTCGTATAAAAGAAAGTTTCTAGGTTTCTTCTTCCCAGAACGGAAAAAAATATTTTAAGATGTACCTCGTAACCACCAGCCTCCCCCAATAAACGCACCCTTTCTCGCTGCGCAATATTTGCAATTACGGGAATGCATTGCTTTTAAATTTCTTCTAGGCAAACTTGCCTTTATTATTAAAAAGATTGCGGGCTTCACACGGCGCAGGCGAAATTCAAACTGGGTGCAAACTGTAAAACAAAGCCTTTCTTTGGGAGGTCGGCGTTTTGTTGCGCCGTTTATTCCGAATTGGAAGATAATATTTGAATTGTAAGGAAACTCACCTCGTTTCTCTTTAACTCTTACTTGGAGAGGGACGGTGCATTCATACGCGCATGCGTCAGACGTAGGCTCTCCTGCCAACTTCGGCTCCAGACAAACTTTAGCACAACTACTGATGGTAGCTAGGTAGGGCACTGCGACTATTTCGCACCATGAGGAAAAAAAAACCTTACATATGCAGGAAGGGTCGCCAAATATATATTTGTGTGTGTGTGTGCTCACCACAGATTTTATTTCGTTTACACCCGTTGGTTTGCCCGTTGTTTAAATTCAGGAAGAGTGCCCGAGCAGCACAAGAAAAGAGAGACCAGTTCCGAGCAGGACCATTTTTTAGAGCCGCTCCCGCGCCCAATTTTAAATCCCCCCCACCAGAAACAACAGTCTGTTGTACACCCCCCACCTCCTTTTAAATATTATTGGATCTCTACGACTAGTCTTGCTACGTACTGCCATAACGGTGGTCCTTATGTAACCTAAAACAGTGGAGCTTATTACATTCGCAGTTGAGCTGCAAAGCCAGCTGAGGCGCGTAAGTGCAGTACCATTGCTAACGCGTACGTGGAGGCTGAGTTATGGCCATGAATCTCCCAGAGTCGGGGCGTTTGTTTTTACCTCTTTGGGCACGAAAGATGGGGTTAGGGGATTGGCAGCACCTCCTCGTCCGTCGGTAATTTCACACGCGGCAGTGCCAAAATGTGGTTTTAAGCAGCACGCAACTAAAATCCGACAACCCGCATCGATTCATTCGCATCACAGGCCGGGTAATAAAAAAAAAAAACATGCATCTGGAAACGCCTTGGTCTCTATCCCCGAGCAGTCAAAAACGGTTTTCATTCAGGTGTTTAAAACGCCGACATTTTCCAAATAAAAGCAATAAGATCCATGCAGGCGGGTAGCGGATACTGCCTTTTGCAGGTGTGATCGATGAAGATGGGCACCGCGCTTTTTAACATTTTTTTTTTCCATACAAACAAGACGTGCAGTTTTAATAATTGCATTTTAAGATCACAGCATAATCGTGTTAAAAACAAAGCAAATATACACACTATGAGATCCTTTTAATTCTAACAATAGACGGAAATTGCAGGTGGTTACACCATCCTCTTAGTTATAGTGGCAAATGCGTTTCCGTTACATATGAGGATATGTAAAAGAAACTTGTTTCTGAAATATATAATTAAATAGACCTGTGAAGCTTAGCAGATCAACCGCATGTGTTACTTCATAGGTGCCGTCACCGATGACGTCGGTAGCTTTAACTGTGACGACAGAAAGCACCGCAAAGCGTCTATACCATGCGTCTCCTTAAGCAGTGTTGTAGTCTTTTGTGACATTTTATTACATCATTGTTCTAAGGGATTCAATTGTTGTAGTTTTGCTCTTTGAAATATGACTATATACACTGAAATATGTTTATTTCAGTTCGGATCAGTTACATTTTATATGTAGTAAAATACGTTTATTTTCTTGTAAAAAAAAGCTATAGAGAACATTCAAGACTGGGCAAACACTTGGGAGATGACGTAGACAAGCGCAGGGTTTTGCACGCAGGTAGCAAAAACACGACTTTTAACATAGCAATAATAACGCTGACATCATTTAGATCTAGACGATGCGGGGAAGGAATTAAAAAAGTAAACAAAATATATCATTGTTAAAAGGGAAGAATTTAATTCAAGGAATGTTATATTTGAATTGTATAGCTCACTCGTAAAGCTTCGTTTAGAATATTGTTTATGATTTCAGTCACCATGGTACAGAACTGCTGCTCTGAATCAATCCAGAGGAGAGCATCCAGGTGCATTCTGGGACTTACAGAAACGCCCTACGCTGCGAAGCTGAAGGAACTGAACCTTTTTAGTCTTCAACAGAGAAGACAGAGGCAAGTATTCAAAATCCTCGAAGGCACAGCCGGAGTTGAGCCAGCCAGCAGGTTCCTCCAGAGCAAACAGTGTAACGTGAACCTGGGGGCACTAGTAGAAACCGAAGGTGCGTTTAGTGCAGATATCCTGTCGGAGGTCTCATCCCTGGGACGAGATGTTAAACTGAGGTCTTGACTGCTTGGTTGTTTAACATCCCGCGACACTTCTTGTAGAACTAGGGGATGTTAACCCTCGTATCCCAGTTAAATTCCCCTCTGGGCTTGATGAACCACCTGCCCCCCCCAAAGAGAAAAAGGTCCTCTCCAATTGAGCTGGGGAAGCAGCAGCTCATATCTCAGCCTTGTGTGCTGGTACATCCCATCACTGCTGCCCTGTCAATACCCTGCTCATGGCTGTTTCGGTGGACAGGAAACCTGGCCAGGCCCACCGAACAGTTCCTCCTGCTGAGGGCAGGGGAAGGTTTTGCTCTTCTCGTGGGATGGGGGTGGGTCATGAACAACAACTGAGCTCGCCTGCCCCATGCTAGACCCAGGACTGGGTTTATTCTAGGGTTACACTGGTGAGGGTACCTACTGCTTCTTTTGACCCCGAACAGTAGAGCTATCCTCCCGATTCCTGGTTCTGTACTTTTCACTTCCACACTTAGATGATTGAGTGCAGCTCTTCTCTTCTTGTCTACTCCCATGGGTATAATATCGGGGACACTTAAAATCTTGAGGTTTGAGAACATATAGGGCCGGGAGCCTCAGCTGAACAAACGAAACCCTGAGCTGTGCAGACATTAAACCTTGAGAAAACTTCAAACATCAAGTCTTATGAGGTTTAAGTTCTAAGGAAACCTTGGATGTTGATCTTGTAGGCAATACAGCACTGGAGCTCTGTGAATCCCCAGAGGGCTCAAGCTTAGTGAGTGCCCCAGATGATCACGGACACCCCGAGGGACCCCAAACCCCTTCGCCTGATGCACGCACTGCCTTTTCCAAGTGCAAGTAGCAAAATTCTCGCCAGACCGCACTGACTTCACTATATCAACACCAGAGCATAGCATCGAAGAGCTGAGACACCTGGAGCTCTTCCCCATTGCAGCACCGACGTCTCACTTGCAGTCCTATCTCACCCCGAAGGGACTGTTGCCACCAGCTCTTGGCCCTGGTGTGCACCTTATCACAGGACGCCCACTTTAGCCCGCGCTGCTGGTCTTCTGTAAACCAATCGCTGACCTGGGCAGATCAAAGGCCAGCTTGAACCTCGCACCCTCTTCTGGTGCCCACCACGTGCATCGCATCCTTAATTCCAAGGAACTGCGATTTTACCTTCCTGCACACAGTTTTCTAAGTGGAGCAAGCCACCCAGCCATGTTGCCAAGATTAGCCAGATTCCTTTCTCGTTTCAGGAGACAGACGGATCAGTCACTGACATTCTTAATGGAAAACCCAGGTCTCTATTTATCCATTGTAAGAGATGCTTTGTCTTGGAGCACTGGATGGAAAAGGTTAGAGCAGTGCCCCTTTGCCAGCTCTCTCCTCTTTGCTCAGAGGATTGTTCTTATGTTGCCCAATTGTGGAAAGATGGACATTTGGGGTTCTGTCCAGCTGGGCAAAGAGCTCAAGGAGACTTGGTAAAGAAATGACAGGTCTGCCAGGTGACCACAACAAAGAATAAATGCTGCACAAAAGAAAAAAAAGCACAAACATCCGGCAAAAATACAAATTTTATTTTAAAAGTGAAAAGGGGAACTTCAGTACCAGTGGCAGAAAGGTAATGGAAATAAAAATCTCAACACCGCGCTCTTGGGAAGAAGGGACATCTAAAATTACAACTTGAAAAATACCCAGGGTTACTAGATGAAAGGCCTTTTTATTTGAAAGGAAACTCTCTTGCCAACGCCTTCTGATCTTCAGGGTGATCAATCCACGTGACAAACCCAGCTTTACGAACATCTCGGCACTACGCTACGGAGACAACACTATTCATAAAAGAAAGCTTTAAAAGAGAAATGCAGCAGGGGTGAATGCATGGAAATTTAGAACAAACAGCAAGCAAACTTTAAAGACCCAACAGCAGAGTATAAACGCACTCCAAGATCAGAAAAAAACAGGAGCAAATCAGGACCGGGAGCGAGATCGTGACCGGGAGCGGGAGGCGGACCTGGACCCGGATCGCGAGCGAGACCTGGCCTTGGAGGGGGAGGCCGAAGCCGAGCGGGATTTGATCTTGGGCTTCGAGGCAGATCGAGAGCGGGATTGAGACCCAGATCTGCGATCCGCGCGGGCGTCTTCTTCCCCGTCGCTCTTGGGCTCCGGGTTTTTGGAGACAGATTTCCTGGAGTGCTCCTTGTTCTCCTTGGACGCCGACCTGGACCTCGACCTGGAGCAGGAGTCGTCTTTCTTGCTCTTCTTGCTGTCCTGCTTGCCTCTCTTCCTGCTCCTCTGGCTGCGACTCCGACTCCTGCTTCTGCTCCGGCTCCGGCTCTCCTTCCGGTTCTTACCCCGCGTTCGGCTCCTGCTGCGGCTCCGCTCCGGGCTCCGCCCCCTGGCCTTGCTCACGCTCTTCTCCTTGCTCCGGCTCTTCCGCCCCTTGTCGTTGTGCTCCCTGCCCTCCTTGTCCTCCCCCTTGCTCCGGCTCCGACTCCGGCTCCGGCTCCGGCTCCGGCTCTTCCCCTTCTTCTTGCTGCGGCTCTTGCTCCTGCTCCTGGAACGGGAGGCGGACCTTGAAAACAATAAATGAAAAACCCTTTTGTACGCATGACGACATACAGAACTCAAGAAAAGACCGATATTTTATATTGTCAGGCTGGGGAGAGATGATCCCACTGATGACACCAAAAAACATCAAATCTTCATGAAAAGATATAAAACATCTTCCATCATTCACAGAGCAGTTCTAGCAAGAAAGGGCTGAACACCCCTGTTCAGAGTTTTGCAAATCCTGGGATTTTTAACAGTTACACTAGATGCTTCAGCAAGGTTAGATCCGGGGTTTCAAATGGGAAAAACAAACAGTTGCGCACAACGCAAAGGTTCAGAGAGAATACGTTCTGCGTGTAGCTTAGACTAGAAATGAAAATGGAAGGCCTTTCTTGAAGGCTTCAGATACAGATCGAGTTGCACACCTACTGTATAAGAGAGGAAAAACTGGGGGATCTGGATTCATTACCGTGTTGACATACTTCCTGTCTTTTGTGCTGCAATGGGCAAAGCTAGCCTGCTGGAGCCAGAGGGGGGCGCGGATGGCCTGAGGCTTGACGTTTCCAATGCCCACTCTGCCTCTCGAATGGATCCTCCTACCTGGAGCGCGACCGGCTGCTCTTGCTGCTCCCACTGCGGCTCCGGCTCTTGCGGGAACGCCTGCTTCTGGAGCGAGACCTGCTTCGGGACAGGGGCACACGTTAAACCCCCAATCCTGCCTGGATCGGAAGGATGGTCTCTTTGTTCAACTGCAACGTCAAGCGTTCACCACAATGGTACACTTACTCTCCACAATGACTTTCCTAACCAAATATCGGGTCGCTTTACAATCCCATAACAGATAAAGAATGCAAGTTGGCCCCCTCTGGTAACCTGGAGAAATCAAGAGTATATCAAGAGTCTATTAGTTTCCAATCTATATACAACCTTACAGTTTTTTTGGGGGACCGTGTCCTGCGCATGGTGAATCAAATCTGCAAATATGCTCGTCTGACACGCCCACTTATCAAGAACAATTCAATCTCTGAACTTTGCGATTCTGTGGTGCTTCACAGGACACTTAACACTGACTGGAGGGGCAGAGTGTCTCTGCGTTGATGGTGGCAAACTGTTCAGGTCCAGAGGCAGCAAAGCATCAGAGCCCAGACCACACCGCTCCCATTGCCATGCTGGACAGTGGAGATGGGGCTCGTCCGCAGGACACCAATAATAATAATGATAATAATAATAATAATAATAATTGCTTACACTTATATAGCGCTTTTTCTGGACACTACACTCAAAGCGCTTTACAGGTAATGGGGACTCCCCTCCACCACCACTAATGTGCAGCCCCACCTGGATGATGTGACGGCAGCCATACAGCACCAGAACGCTCCCCACACACCAGCTATCAGTGGGGAGGAGAGCAGAGTGATGAAGCCAATTCATAGATGGGGATTATTAGGAGGCCATGATTGGTAAGAGTCAATGGGAAATTTTGGCCAGGACGCCGGGGTTACACCCCTACTCTTTTCAAGAAACGCCCTGGGATTTTTAATGACCACAGAGAGTCAGGACCTCTGTTTTATGTCTCATCCGAAGGACGGCGCCTGTTTATAGTATAGTGTCCCCGTCACTATACTGGGGCATCAGGACCCACATGGACTGCAGGGAGAGCGCCTCCTGCTGGCCCCACTAACACCTCTTCCGGCACCAGTGCTGGGATTTCTCCAGAGGTGTGCATGCAACACAGTGCTGAGCACGCAACTATACAAGGTTGCCAAAGAGAACCAGGCTGATCCACTGATGACTGCTGGCAGGATGACTTCTGGGCAGATGAGTCAAAAAATTAGGTTTTCCCTCTGTGGCTCAAATGCAAAATTTTATTTTGCCTGACAGTCCCTTTTAAACTTCGTGAAGAGCTTGCAGACTGATCCAGACATACGAGAGACCTTAAATACTTCTCTCTTATAGCCTTTCGCTACTTTTTTTTCCCCATCTCTTTCACACCTCTGGTTTCCTTTTTTCCCCCTTTCTTTCCTGTGTTGATACGATGGCGAGACTGATGGAATTTGGTTAGACAGCACGCCTGCCGTGCCCTGATGGCCGTTCACCATTGTTCACTACTGCGACACGGCCGCGTCGCTCCCAGGACACCGCGCTCGCTTACCTGGAACGGCTGCGGCCCCGGGAGTAGGAGCGGCGCCGCCGGGACCCGGGCCGGTCCTCAATCAGCCGGATCTTCCTCCCGTTCACCTCGGTGCCGTCCAGCTTCTCCAGGGCCCGCCGCATGTCGGAGTAGGACTTGAACTCGATCACTCCCTCGTTCTTTCTTCCCTTGTGGGCGTCGGCATAGGTCACCTCCCCAGCCTGGCGCATGTAATCCTAAAGCAGAGCAGATCACGGGACTGCTTGATGCCCACGCTTGTTTTGTTCATTCTACTAGTGCCAGAATCCAGCGCCTACCTTGATTACCATCCTATATGCAATCACCTAATCTCAGATTTACAGTGTGCCGGAACCTGGGGTGCTATCAGCTTGGGGCTCCTCCAGGTACTTCTCTTTCCTCCCACAGTCCCAAGTCGTACCGGTAGGTTACCTGGCTTCTGGGGAAACCAGCGCCGGTGTGAGTGTGTGCGTGTGTGTGTCTGTGTGCGCCCTGCATCCCGTCCAGGGTATATCCTACCTTGCGCCCGTTGCTTGCCGGGATAGGCAAGCACTGTGCGGCACTGTAATGGATAAGTGGTTAGTAAAAGGGTGGATGGGTTGTAACAGAGCAGCAGTAGTTGTCAGCAATTGCCCACTTAAACCATGTGCCCACAAGTGCCCTGATCTCCCTAATAATCCTCATCAACCCATTAACCCCATATGGCCCTGTAGGCACCCCCCCCACCACCACCCCCACCCCCAACCATGCAAGCTCCCCTCAGAATGCGCAGCGCCCTCATACAGTAATTAATAATTAACCTCAGGCAGTACAGTACCTTTAAATCCTGCCAGCTGCAGCGACTGGACAGATTCTCCACTATCAAGCGGTACTCTGTGCGAGTCGGAGGTCCATACTTATCTCTCCCACTGCGCCTATACACATATCCACCTTCAAGGTGACAAGCACAGACAGGCACCGGTTCAGCAGCCAACCCGGGAGGGCACCCGTTCAAGACATCCCCTGCTTATACTCTATGTGTGTCCTCACATCTGAAAAGGCAGCTCAATTACAACAGCATCACGAGAAACAAAGCAACAATCAGAGCTTCCCTGCCTTCTAGGATTAAAGTGTCGCACGGTTATCTTAACTTGTGCGCACAATCATAACAAAAGTGGACTCCCACAGACTCTAGAGTAACAATACACAAATATTAAGACATGCATCATATGTTTACAAAACGTGTCAGGTGCTGTATGGCTATAAACTATGTGCATTGATGTAAAACCATTAAATTATCTTTCAAAAGCATCTGTTAATAAAGTATAACATAAACCAGTTTTATTCACTGTTAGCCAACTTTTTAAGTACTTACGGTGAGTTACTGTACATTTGAACATAATATCGGAAATGGAAAAAAAAAAGAGTTTTCAGGCACCTATTTCAGTTTAACCACATCTGTCTCTACCCCCATGGAATCCTCACCACCCAGGTCTAATGGGAAAAGGTAGCGGTCTTCACAATGGCTTCCTGTTTGGGTCAGCCAAGGGCCCACAATGGTCAAAGAGCCACACTCATGGAAAGGCAGCCCAAGGCCAGCTTTTGGGACAGGCAGTCAGTCATCTTAGCCTCAAAGGACTCTTTCAATTAAAACATCGAGGTTCTTTGTTAAATCTCTAGCGTTAATCACAGTCACATTACAAAAAAAAAGATCAAATAAACGATAAAATAAAAAGATGCCATTCAAATCGATCAAAATATTTCAGAAAGAACACTTGATATCAAAACACAGGTGTAATAACTCAACCTGGCTTATTTTTATTATTTTTTTTAGCAGGCTGGTCAATTATGAGTCACAGGCATACAGCAGTTTAAACTGGAAGATTTAAACAAATTTCCTACCAAATATTTTTCCCCCCAGTTTATTGCTTTTAAAAAAAAAGCTTTTATACTCGCTCCACGAGTTTAATACATTTAATACACATGGTCAGAATCGACGTTATGTTGTTGGTAGTTGTTTTAGCCAGGCTATATTTGCTTCATTAAAAAAAAAAATATTTGCACGTTCAAAGCATTGAAGTGTTACACTTGAAATAAAAAAAACTAACTAAAACACTACGATCATCATCATCATCATCAGAATAATCTGGGCACTGAGCGCGCGCACTCACTCCGTCCCGAGCTGTAGCTGCCGTCGCGGCGCGGGCCCCTCGCGTGCTCCACTATGACCCGCTCGCCGCACAGGTCTTTGCCATTGAGCTCGTACACCGCGTCGTCCGCGTCGCGGGGGTCGTCAAACTCCACAAACCCGTACCTGCATGAGAGACAGGCCCGGATAAAAACACGGGGGGGTTTCAGGAAGGGCTGACTTTTGCTTTTCTGTACAAGAGAGAACCTGCCAGTGTTATTATCCGACACCGTCCCCGCAAGAGCGGTGGGTTCCCGCAGAGACGGGAGGTTCGGTCGGAAACAGAAGCGAAATCCGAGAAATGGAGGGATGAGCTTGGTGGAGGTGTAGAGGTGGCGCTTTCACCGGCGAAAACGTGTTCGTGTTTTATTTATATTTTTTTCATTCCGACCGAACCGCTAGTCCGTGTCTACGCCAACGCCAGCGGGTCAGAACACAACCCGACCGGGCTCAAACCGCACGGACCAAACGAACTATCGTGGTCGCAAGACCAAAACCGCTGCCCCCTCCCTCCCACGCCCTTCAGAAGGTTTTCTCCTCCCGATTTGAGCCGCGCCGGGGCGAAGCGGACCGGGGAGGACTCCAGCCCGGAGCCCCGCACGCATGCGCCCTCCCACCGGCGCTGTCGGCTGCACCGTGCGGCGCAGACAGCCGGCACGGCAGCCGCTCGGATCGACCTGCAAAAAAAAAAATTAATTGCATTCACTATTTCTCACGCAGCCCGAGCGGCGGCTCGGAAAACTCCGTCGCAGCACCGAGAGGCCCACCGTGCACTATGACAACGACTACAGAGCCGAGGCTACACGGTGCTTTATCGACTGGCCTCCTGTTAAAGTTTCCTTTTGGTTCTTTTACATATTTTTTTTTTCCTTTACCCGTTCTTGAGGTCGACCTCGAGTATCTTCCCATATCCCTTGAAGAACCTCTCGACATCCCTCTCCCTAGCCTGGTAGCTCAGCCTCCCTATGTAAACCCTTGGCATTTCCCAGCTCCGTGTACTGGTCCCAAACACACCCCCCTCCTCCTCCTCCTCCTGCCTGCGAGTTCGCCCCACAGCACACGTGACTACACCTTCCGCGGCCCGCGCGCGGGGATAGGGTGCCTGCGCGCGGCGGGGGCGTGCATCTGCGGGGGCCGGGGAGGAGGAGGGGGGTCCCCCTTTTTTTTGTCTTTTAACCTTGGAAACGCCGCTCGGATGCTTCGTTTCATCTTCGTCTTCATGCCTGACGCGGAGGTGCTCGGCACTTGTCTCTTTTGCCCGCTGGCTGCACTGGGGCCCCTTTCCACCAGCAGCCCGTAATGTCGCTTTAATGATAAAGGCGGCCGTAATTAAATCCTCTCTCGTATGATCAGCGATTGCTTGAACTCTGCTATGAATATCATTGTAATAGGATAGTGCTAATAGCGAACGTACCGGCCAGCAGACCCGCAGTAAACACAGATATTTTGATTCTACACACAGGGTCAGGGGTGAAAACTCGCTGTTTCTCTGCTGGTGACCAGCTAATGAATAGTCTGTCACCCCCGCATTAGTTGTATTAAACTGTAGAGGTCATCTAAAAGTATTAAGCAGTCTACAGTTTTTATATTTTCTACAATTCTCCTAGGCAGATAACAAAATTATATCTCTCTCCATTCTTTACTTCAGTTATAACAGCGCTTAAAAGAGTCTATTAAGGTTCGATAATAATGCACATTGTGCCGTTGTGTTCAGAAGCTCCAGCCCCAGAAGACCTGGGAGCTGTGCATCTAGCGTGACGGCACTATTCCACGGAATTGGACACCTTAATATCTTTATTTGTTCTTCGTAAAATGTGTCTGAATCAGGCGCTCTCTCGTGGGTTTTGCCCCCGTTTCTTAAAGGTAGCAATGCCGACGGGATAAAAAGGACACCCCTGCGCCTTTAAACCCTGTAGTTCCACTTTACAGCGCTGGAGGGAGAGAGTATCGGAGATCGTGATGGGCACGGCACAGTAAGGTATTAGTAATAGGGGGAAAAACATAGGAACAGCTCCGAATGTCGGTCCGGTAAAAACAGACTGTGCACGTATGGCATTCAAAGGGAAAATAGCCGACACCAAGGTATGGAACACGTATTAAAAAGGCGCGTATTCCTATCTCTGGGGTTTTAAATTGTGCCGTTTTTATGGATTTGGCGCAACGCACAAGGTGTCTTGTGATGTCACGTTTGTTATTAACGGGATCAGTGCTAACAAGGTGCTTCACTGTACGTTTAACAAGTTAATTCTTTCCTCGCGGTTTTTTCTCTGTTTTATGTTGTACTTGGTATTATTTGTGCTCTTGGGTGAAACGATTCGCATTTCTTGATCACCTTTGGCATTGCCACAGCGGTGTACCGTGTGTATACGGTTTATCGTACGTTTTTAAAGAAAGCAATTAAAAAACAACAACAACAAGACAATGTATAAAGTATCTGAATGAATGCCACGTGAAAATAAAGTTTCCGGAACCTAATTTAATAATAGGCATTCTCTGTTAGCTCGATAACGACGTTTGAATTTTTATTTCTGTTTTAATTATGTTTTAGGAATATATGTATTAAATGCTGAGCGTATGTGAGTATTACACAATTAAACAGGACTCTGTTCAACAGCTGTAGGAACAGGTCAAGCCCTTCACAGAATATAGTTTGATTTGTTATGGTTTTACGGTTTTATTTCCTGTTCAACTATGGATGAAAAATACGTATTTTAAGGATGATTGAAATAATCTGCATGCTAAATTGGCATTTACTTTGTTTGAAATTCGCCTTTTACATTGCTTATATGGGTTTCCAAGGTACTGTTCTGAAAATGTACTCTAAATCTCTAACCTGATATATAAGTAACAGTGTCTATTAAAATACTCTGTACTGTTTCATAAAATCCTGGTTCTGATTTTTCCTTAAGTGTTGAAGCAGGAAAAAAATACCTTTTAAATGATATGCTATCATAGCGGACAGTTTACACATTTTAAAAAATTGCACTGTTGAGCAGAAATTCTCTTTATGAGCATTTGAAAAAGCTTGATTCTACAACATAAACACAAATGCAATAATTAAAGAAAAGAAAATAGTATTTACATTGATCTTCACCTCACCCTTTAAGGGATGAGATGAGCACGGATGCTTTATATTTCTAAAATAATAATGCACTGCATTTTTCTTTTTAGACTGTACTCCTGCAATTACTTCTGTGTTTGGTCATTTTCTACACTGTCTACTACATGATCGGCAGCGTCTGTTTCGGTATTTTCAAGTAAGACTTTTTTTACTTGCTCGACTTGCTCGAAGATGACAGTCTCTTTGGACAAATGCGGACACAAAAAATGTCGCAGTGCCTACAGGGGGCAGTAGTGGGACACGACCTTTCTAGCGAGCCGAACGAAGACGCTGCACACGGAGCACGTGGTGATGGATTAAAAACGCAGATGACACCAGGAAATGGTTTCATTCGTATAAAACCCAGACAAAGCAAACAAATAATTAAACATGACGTCAGAACTGGGCGCATGCAGCCTAAAATGGTTTACCTAACGCGGGGAAACCTTTTATTCTAAAAGAAACGATAGATTTGTGAAGGTTGTGCGTCTTCTCCAATCACAAGTCTTTTCACGAGACATTTTTCATTTCTTTAATTTCTGGTCGCATATCTGAACGTGTTCGTGATCTGAGTGTTTTTATGTAAAATAGTACCCTGTAATAGAACGTGCACTGAACAACCGCATTATGAATATTATGATAATAATAACAATAATAAAAAATAAATACTGTACATTGACTTCTATGAAGAGGAAATTGGAAAAACATTACTGGTACGTTAGCTTTGTACCATAACAACAGTGGTGACCTTCTATTGCACACTTCCTGGTGACCAGCATGTCTCTTGTTCCTTGATGGAATGGTCAGTTAGTGTATCTGATATGTATACATTCATCATCAGCATGTCACATTCAATAACACGTATCCAAGTCAGGGTGGCAAGGCAACCAGAGTCTATCCCTGGAAAGTAGTAGGTGCAGTGAGGCTGTTATACCAGTCCCTCGCAGAGCACACACAGACACAGACATGCACACATTCATACCTGGGCATTCATGCATACATTCAATCCCAGAAGGCAATTAACCTGCTTGAATGGCTTTGTACACTTCGGCAGCACATATACTACATTTGGAACGATACAGAGATTAGCGTAGCCCCTATGCAAGGATGACTCTAGTATTTGTTTGGACTGTGAGAGCAAACTAGAACACCCAGAGGAAACCCCACATGAACACAGGGAGAACATACAAACTCCACACAGACAGCACCTCAGGGATTGAACCCGGGCCTCTGCTCTCATGCTAACCAGTGCAGCACTGTCCCACCCCTGAATGAACTGATTAGTAGACAACGCTCTGAGCAGAGAGAGCGACACAGTCATGCAAGCGAGTACTTGGCATGTTTCTGATTTTCTCTCTTTCAGGCTCGACCATTTCGATGGACTCATTCCGTTTGACTTCAAGACCGAGCCCTCGGAGTCCAGCTCTAAATATCTGGGTAGCATTGCTGTTGTTTTGTCTTTTGATGTCGCTTTTTCCAGTTCTATAATAAATAATTCCTTACATGTGTTGAGCACTTTTGAATCCCAAATGATCCCAAAGCACTTGACACACGGGGGGAAGGAGTTACTGCCTCCCCCACTGAGGTGCAGCCCGACCTGGGTGACTCGCTGCTTCCGCTCAGCTGAAAGTGAAGGCGGAACCCCAGGAAGATCAGAGTCTACAAACCAAGAGGGCACGATAGCCCTGTGTTTCCAAGTTGCCATGTGTTCTGTGCTCACATGTCCGGTAGTCAGGAGCTTGGTTTAGCCTTTCATCACAAGAACAGCAACGTCCTCAATTCTGAGTCATTGGTTTGGAAATTCTGGTCCAGATGGAACAGTGACTCCACCACCACAAATTACAGAACCACCTCGATTTTGACATGGATTTAAATTCTGTCATTCAAATGACACCATCTGAAAACAAGGCACGTCATTGTACTACTTGTAGCAATTAAGGAACCTTGTGGCAATTTCACATTCATTCTTACTGACTGAGTAAGACTCTTTAAAAAAACAAGCTGGTCTCCAGAGGGGCTCTAAGGCTTTTCCTTGGAGGTGTCCAATCCCAGTACTGACCTGCCCTGACCTTGATTAGCTTCTGAGAGCTGATGCAAGGTGGTAACTGCTACTGCCAGCATGGCTTTCCTGAGGGATGTTGATAAGAGCCCATGTGAGATTTCTGACCCTGGGTCTAAATAGCTGCTGCTTGTTCTCTCTCTGCTGCAGTGAACCTGCTGTCCATGGAGCTCACCTACTTCAGCAGTGGGCTGCTGTTTGCCGCCGTGGTGAAGAGATGGGTGTGGGACTACGCCTTCACTGTCACTCTGATCCACATTGCCCTGACGTCTGTAGGTGAGGCGCCCAGACTGCATTAAGAAAAGACCTCCAATTGGACTCCACACTGTGACAAGAAATTAAAATGCACGAAAAATGCATCAAGAAAATGACATATAATTGGAGTCTTGTCTTGCATATAATGCATTTTTTGTACACTTGATTTCTTGTCACACACCTACAACACGCACACAGGTCTGATCACTCACCGCACTGAGTCTGAGTCATCATCTTGCAGCCCTGCCTGCACAGACTCATATACAGGAATAGCAGAACAAAAAACGATAACCAGAGGTTGACAGTGAAGCATTCACTTGTACATACCTACATAAAAAACCCGTAAGGGAGCAATAATATCCATCAGTCTTCAAACAGGCTTGGGCATGTCAAAAACCCATCAAATCCAGGGCTGCAGAAATGTGCATTATGCCCGTGGAGTGAAAACTTAATTGCCTGCTGTAGTTCATTGTTGAATGGAAATCATCTGCTGTACATGTGCTTCTTGGAAATCATTGGATGCTAAATTGCTCACAAGCATGTTTTTAACCACACCTTAGTTCGTGAAATAAATATGCTTGACTTGACATCAGCACGTCACTAATGCTGTTAGAGTCTGGATTCCTTTTAAGTACAACAGGCATTCAAGTAGAGGATAGAATGATTTCACAACTTTCTTGACCCCTGCTATTTCCAAATACTTATTATTAACTTTAACTCTTGATCCCCGTTTTCCAAATTTTTTTATTTTAGAAAGCATCAGACTCCTGTATTAAAGGAAAGTTAATAGTTTCACAGGTATGTCAAGACTTTTGATTGTTCATACTGTGCAGTAATCATCTTTTTGGTTGGTATTCCAGTTATGTTAGAGTTTCCTCTCGTGTGGCAGTGGTGGCTAGCACTAGGTAAGTCTGTTTGTTAGCAACATAAGAATAACAATTCTGCTGTACATGAGACACATCTTTATTTTCTGTTTAAGTTCCTGATTTTCAGAAACAGTCCTATGAAAACACAAGATATTTATTCACTTTTACATCTTTTTCACTTTTCAGTTTCGTAAAGATGAATTCATGGCCACATTTCTCTATTTTTTAATATGCATGAACATTTTCTGCAAATCATTGTCTGACTGATTTCTGTTGTTCATGTGCATGTTTTCCCCCACAAACCTATAAGGATATCTTACGTTTAATGTTAAAAATCTATCTTTCAACTTTTTCAACATACTGTTGGTTTTTTAGCTATTAGACTTCGAAGTAGGAACTTTGGTGGCAGGAAACATTTTGCTTTAATCGATACATGGGCTCCTCAGGTATTTTCATATGTTATGCAATTTGTTTCCATTTCACAGTATTTCAATGTCTAAATATACAGAAGTACAATAAAACAGAATTGCGTAGCGTGCAAACATGCTGCCTTCCACAGCAATACTAAATTGTCTTGTACACAAGAAGTGATTTGATTAGATTTGCTGCTTGGGAATTTCTAATACAAAGAGGCTGCATTACAAAGTTGAGAGTTGATCGAAATTCCAAGGGACTAACTTCTGTTAGATCATCTGCATGACTGAACAAATGCACCTCTATAAGTCTTTTGAAAGCTTAAAGCAGTGATTTCAAAGCTTATCATTAATTAGCATTAATTCCATTAAATAATTGGAGCAGGGAGCAGAAGTCAGAAGGTCTGAATTTATCCCTTTTTTCTGTTAATTAACCAGACAGCTAAGAACAAATGATTTTCTTTTACAGTGACAGTCAGGAACTTACCCTGATATACGGAAGTTCTGTTTTTGTAAAAAAGTTTTTGCTTTTCACATAAAAAACCTTAAGACTCTTTTTTTCTTAGGAATTTCAAGGTAGAACATGTCTGCTAAGTCATTTCTTGAAAGTGTCTTAATGTCCTGTCTCACATGTTGGTTTGGTAACATCACTACTCTTAACTGTAACAGGTTGGGAAAATTAGTGAAAATAAGTAACACAATTATTGGGGCAAATATCCTCTACAAACTAAAGGTTAAAAAGAAGGCCAAGAGCGTTAATGACTGTGCCTCTCACCCCCTTCATTGTGAGTTTTCACTACTCCTTCCCGACTTCCTTCCTGACTGTTTTTTTCCCTTCTTTCCTGGGAAGGGAGCGGTTTGTTTCTCATGATCTGCAACGGCCAGCTGATCGCTTACTTCGCCTGCCAGAATGACCACCGGTATCCTGCATTTCACAGCTACTGACCCCAGGACATGGTCAGCAGACAAGCTTGACCTTTCTGGGAACTAAACAGTGGTTTTCCAGAGGTTGGCGTTAGCAGCAGGCCCTCCTTGATGCTGCTGCTGTGCGCTGCTGATGCGCTCATGAATTCCAAACACTTTGAACACGTTGCACGTGCACAACGGGGAAAGGGAGGAACGCCCTGGAAACTGATAGCGTGAGAGCAGCCCCCTTATAAAGATGTACTGTGTCATACGACGGCAAACAGCAAAAGCACAGCCAAGTGTAATAAAGCACAGTGATGTAGTGTTAAAAGCACAGGAAAGCCTACCGAGGTAAGATGAATATTAGAAAAACCCCAATATTCACAAAGTACATCCAGGTGTTAACTATAGGATTAAGTCTCTTTGTGCAACACATTTCAGCACTGTGCCCTAGAGAATGGGGAAGAGAGTGGGCTGACTGCATGTTTCTCAAAACATCTCAAACCTGCTTAACCTGGGGAGATTAGTCAAAGATGTCTCCAGTTTTTTGACAGTCTTCTGCATGTGATTCCTGTGGCTCTCATAGTTCTTCACATTTGACAGTTCTTCCTTATGTGGAATTCATCTGCAGTTCCCCATACCTTGGACACCTTATGATGAAAAACATTCTAGAAATGCAATTATTGTATTTAAAAGACAAATGAACACATTTTTATTTAAAAACTAAGAATTCAAATAAAGAAAGTTATCTAGTGATGTATTTATATGGATTAATAAAGGTGGATTTCCTTGATTTTGAAAGTTGGGTTTTTTAGCGCTCATTAAGCTTTAGGTGATGTTTACACAGTGGGTCGTGTTTCTTCTGTGTCACTGACAATGATACAAATACAGGTGCTGATTGCAACTGTGCTTGTCGAAGCCACAAAGCGGCAGTGTCATGTCATCTGTGTGGAGCAGAGGTCTTGGCTGTCGGCTGTCTTGTGAGCCCGCGCTGGGAGGAAATGCAGGCTCGGACTGTGAGGTGACACACGTGGTTTGTGGGTCAGTGATCACTGGAAGACTAGAGCAGGAACAGTCACAGGAGCTTTATCTCATGATGAGAATAAACCACCTACAATTCATGTATTGAAATGACTTTACTGGAACCAATGTGATCGTCAGCGATTTACTCTTTTGGTGCTGAATGATGTATATTTTCACAGTATTTCGAACTGTGTACAATAGAAACGTGCGTTACCAAGAGGCGCTGCTAAGAATAAAGGTGATCCGGGAGGTGTTTCAACAGCACCGGAGCTGTTAACAGTGCACAGGCCACAGAAAAGGAGGTGTCTTTAAGTTAGTAAGAGGGGAGGTTGCGCACAGTGAGCACATTGGGGTGGTCAGAAAAGGGGGATTTGTATTACAGCAATAGGTGTGGAGACCCGTTCGCCAGCTCTGAACGCGCTTTGGGTTTCTAACTGCCAGCACTGCTTTTCAACATCTTGAACAGGGTTCCCAGTCATGCTGGATTTAGGTCCAGCCGAGATCTCAGTAACACGACTGAGCCCTTAACTGACTTAATAACTGGATTTGTTTGAACTGTTTGATCATTTTCACCTCTTGACCATGTTATATGTTGCCTTTTAACTACTGCATTCTATATATAAAATATAATCTCAAATATCTGAGTAGAAAAAAAACTAAAAACTTTTAAATATTCCATTCATGTAAGTTGTTCGTTCCATTGAGGTTCAGTGAAATTATTAAACTCAGCAGGAATGAAGACCAGCAGGTGTGTGACTCTTCAGCACCAGGGCTGGAGATCATGCATGAAAGCACAAGTGTGGGTCCCCAAGTTTCGGAAACATGTAGTAAAATGATGTGGCTAAGATCTGCTTTTAATTCCTCAGGTTCAACACACGAGAATAGAGCCATTTATTTGGATAGTATTTTAATGCAGTGAATGCAGGTGAAGTATTCTACACAAGGGTACAATGATAGTGTCTCACCTTAGATTTGAACCACCAGCCTTCCGCAAGTGCAGAACCCTCTAACCACTCCTGCCCCAATGTGGTTATAATCTAGTGTGATTAGTTCAATTAAGATCATCTAAAATAATTAATATGGGGAAACATTCAGTTTGCATTTTTTTTTATTTGCGCTTGTTTAGCTCCCTTTTCATATTCTTGTTGGACAAAACAATGCATGTCTCTCTTGTTGATCTGAATACTTAAGCTTTTAACCAGTATCGATGATTCCTGTGACCTGTGGACTATACTAGACTATTTTTTAATGTGCCAACACATTTTTTAATGTTTTATCGGCCAACACATATGAGACACTTGAATGCGATGGCTCTTCAAAACTTAGCACCGACCCTTAAGGTGGAGCTTAAAGTTGCACTAAAAAAAACTACCTGAGTTTTGTCAAATTACAGGTCTGCTGACTCGCTGTAGTCAGTGCTAGTTGTTTAGAACCTGTTGTCTATCATTGTACCAGCCAGTCGTCCTATAAAGGGAGGAAGTTGCTCTTCCAATATAGGTACTTTAGCTGGACTTGCTTGCTGTTTGCTACCCGGACTGCATCCTGGCAAGAGAAGAACTTTATTGGATTCTCCTGCGATCCTGAGGCTTACCGGGGGAAAATCGAGCACGACCCCTTAATTTTTAAATCTTTAAAAGGATCTCAGCACAGTAAAGAGAATAGTAAGTTTGTTCGCGTTTGTTACATATGATTTATTAACGACTTGAAAGGGTGGGCATCGCCAGGGCCCTTAAAGGACTGCGCAACCAGGGCAGCCGCGAGATGGAGTGCTCTCAGTTCAGTAAGTATTCGTGGCTGGACTTCTTCTTCACCCTGCTGGGGGTGTGCACTTTCCTCTTCGACCTGGGATCCGATGTCTGGGTGGCGGTGGACTTTTTTTCGCGGGGGGACTATGTCTGGTTTGGAGCCACGGTCGCCATTATTGTGGTCTCCTCCGCCGTCGTGCAGATGTTCAGCTGGTTGTGGTACAGGTACGACCAGCAGCTGGAGAACTTCAGAGCCCTGACGCTCACGGAAGACTTCCTCCTGAGAGGCCGAGGACGCTGCTGCCTGAATCTCCTGCACATATTCCAGCTTGGATTATTCATGAGGTCTGTATTATTATGACTATTCCAGCAGTTTTTGTAGTTCCTATTCAGTGCCTGTTTAAAACCTGGAATATGTTTATTTTACTTTAACAGACGTCAGAAAACAATCAGCCCAGTTAAGAGCGGATGCTAAGTGACAACTAGTGGCACGTGATGAGAAGAGTTCCCCACTGCAGTTTTATAATTTTACAATAATAGTAGGGCAGCTAACATTAGAAGCATTCTGAAGTTGCATGATTATTGCAAAGCAGGAGGAAGATCAGTGGTTGTACAGGGCGGGGGAGAAATGCA